TCAAAATCTATAAATACTCCCCTCTTTCACTTAAGAAGGGGATCCAATCTTTTATTCTAATATTCATCTCTCTTCAGACAAAGGCACAATTCTTTGAATTCTTAGTTCTCAATCCGACTACTTAGAGCCATTTTTTCTGGATTCTTCCCATAAATCTCTCTTTTTCGTCATTCCTTGACCATATTTCACTAAAATACTTTGTTTTTGTTCTGTCACCACCAAATTTCTATCCACAAACATTATAGTACACCGTAGATCAGCCCTTGTTCGGTCTGATGTCATTCTTTCTAATATTTTTTTTTGTTTTCCAATTTTTCTTCCGTACTCTTCACGATTTTCTTGTGTTTTTTTTTTCCACTATTTCTTTGCTCTTTTCTGACTTGAGCGTCAACGAACAATTAAAAAATTCTCAACTCGTGTTTTCTCAATTTTTACGTGTTTGTTGGTTGTACATGAGTTGTTCTCTCTACTGGTTGTTCGAAGTAATTAAAAATCTCTAAAACAATTTTCTATCGCATATATATTAGGGTGGACATGGATTTTTCCTTCTAAATCCGACTAAATACAATCATTCATGCATACATTATATACAACTTAATATGCGGAAATAACATAACAAATTTAATTATAAAATATAGTTTTTGATCTTGAGGCACATTTGTCATAAGTAATTCCCCGATTTTTAGGAATCGGCAAATCAAGATACATAACGTGGAATCCAAATAAACCGAATCAACTAATTGGCAGCTTCCAAGAACTCATCTAGGAATTGGCAAATCAAGATACATAACGTGGAATCCAAATAAACCTAATCAATTATTTGGCANCTTCCGAGAANTCATCTAGGAATTGGCAAATCAAGATACATAGCGTGGAATCCAAATAAACCTAATCAACTATTTGGCAACTTCCGAGAATTCATCTAGGAATTGGCAAATCAAGATACATAGCGTGGATCAAAATAAACCCATCAACTATTTGGCAGCTTCCGAAAACTCATCTAGGCAAATCAAGATACATAACGTGGAATCCAAATAAACGAATCAACTATTTGACAGTTTTCAAAAACTCATATAAAATTGGCAAATCAAGATACATGACGTGGAATCCAAATAAACCGAATCAACTTTTTGGCAGCTTCCGAGATCTCGTCTACGTTTAAACTCTATAAATAGATAATACTTACAAAACAAAGATTCCGAAAATGGTTTCTAGCGCATAAATACCTTTTTTGTTTTTTCGAGACTCGTGTTTCATAATTTTGTTTGATCTAAAATCGATAATTTTTTAATATCGTAATTATATAATTAAT